CGGCGTTCCTAGGCCACATTGTGTCCGGTGATGGAATTAAAGTTGATACTCGGAAAATTGAGGCAGTGCAGAATTGGCCTAGACCCACATCTCCAACTGATATTAACAGTTTCTTGGGGTTGGATGGATATTATAGAAGGTTCGTAGAGGGGTACTCATCTATTTCGTCCCGTTTGACTAAGTTAACTCAGATAACAGTGAAGTTTCAATGGTCTGAAGCTTGTAAGAAAAGCTTTCAGGAATTGAAAAAAAAGTTGACTACTGCCCCAGAATTGACCTTACCAGAAGGTACGAAAGGCTTTGTTGTATATTGTGATGCGTCTAGAGTGGGTTTGGATTGTGTGTTACTGCAGAATGGTAAAGTTGTAGCTTATGCCTCCAGACAACTAAAAGTTCACGAGAAGAATTACCCATCCCATGACTTAGAGTTGGTTACCGTAGTTTTTTCTTTGAAAATATGGCGTCATTATTTGTATGGTGTTCATGTAGATGTATTCACTGATCACAAGAGACTTTTGTATGTGGTTAGTCAGAATGAGCTTAATCTCAGACAGAGGAGGTGGTTAGAGTTACTCAAGGATTATGACATGAGTATTCTTTATTACCTAGATAAGGCTAATGTTGTTGTTGATGCCTTGAGTAGATTATCTATGGGTAGTACCACCCATTTTGAGGAAGATAAGAAAGATTTAGCAAAATATGTGCATAGACTTGCACAATTAGGAGTTCGACTATTGGATTCCATAGAAGGAGGAGTAGTGGTGATGAATGGGGCTGAATCATCAATAGTGTCAGAAGTAAAAGAGAAGCAAGACCAAGATCCAATTTTGCTTAAATTGAAGGCAAATGTTCATAAGCAAAATGTAATGGCTTTTGAACAAGTGGGAGATGGTGTATTGAGGTATCAAGGTAGATTGTGTGTACCAAGGATTGATGAATTCTAAGAAAGGATCTTGGAGGAGGCTCATAGCTCCAGATATTCTATCCATCCGGGTTCCACAAAGATGTATCCTGATTTGAGAGAGGTATATTGGTGGAGTAGTATGAAGAAAGGTATTGCTGAGTTCGTCGCTAAATGCCCGAATTGTCAACAAGTTAAAGTAGAACACAAAAGGCCCGGTGGTATGGCTCAGAATATAGAACTTACAAAATTGAAGTGGGAGATGATCAATACGGATTTCATCACAGGTTCACCACGGTCTCGCAGACAGCACGACTCGATTTGGGTGATTGTAGATCGAATGACTAAATCAGCCAATTTCTTGCCAGTAAAGTCTACCCATTCAGCAGAGGACTATGCCAAGTTGTAACTCCAAGAGGTAGTCAGACTTCATGGGGTGCCACTATCAATTATATCAGATAGAGGTGAACAATTTACGGCACAGTTCTGGAAGTATTTTCAGAAAGGATTGGGTTCAAAGATGAACTTGAGTACTACTTTTCATCCAAAGGCAGATGGTCAAGTAGAGCGCACTATTCAGACTCTAGAAGATATGTTGAGGGCTTGTGTGATTGATTTCAAAGGTAATAGGGATGATCACACTACTAGAAATATAGCTTATCGCAACAGTTCTATTTCTGTTGCTGTAGGTAGGAATACCGTCGCCACACACATATTGCAACGGTTATAGCACCCCTCCCAACATATCTTGTCGCAATAGATCTATGGCTACGGTTTTTTGCGACAATGCCACAATCGTCACTGTAGAAGTTCGTATTGCGACGGTACTTATTTTAATGTATTGCAACGTTTTTTATTCCTTTTTGGGACGCTTTACCAACCGTCCCTATAACTCTTTGCGACATTTATTCTCTTATTGCAACGGTTGTTACTTTAAGCTATGGCAACAGTTTGGAACCCCCTATTGGGACGTTTTGTGAACTTTGCCTAAAGAGTCTTTGCAACGGTTCTAAAACTCTATTGGGACGTTTTGTCAACCGTTGCTACAGTGTCTAAGCAGCACTTATTTTATCCTTTCAACGGTTCTTTCTTTCAGGTAGTGCAATGAATCTGATCTTTTTAGGGACGCTTGTGAACCGTTCTTATAGTGTCATAGGAAACACTGTTTATATTTATTGCAACAGTTTTCTCTAGTCTATTGCAATGGTTTTATATGGCTATTTTGATAGTTTTCTTCAATAGGTATATATATCAAACACGAGAAATAACTATTCATAATCAAATACAATCCAAGATCCCAGGACAAGTTATAATATTCATTAAAGCAAAATATACAAAAAAATCCTTGAACATTCAAGAGGTTAGACACAAGTTTTGTCAAAAAAACAAAAGATTACTAGAACACATGCTAGTGTCAAAGATATCAACATAAGCCTCGCCCCTAAGGTGTGCCTTCATTGTTTTCATCCCTTTGTTCACCTTCACTACTACCTGCAAAAAAAAAAAAAAATGAATTAGCAAGATACCTTCTACATGAATTTAAAACTATCTTCTCAAGACAAACTTGAAGATAAATGTCACTAACTTCCACCTATACTATAGTAAAATAAGAGAAGGCATAGGTGAGGGAGTAGCAAGCATTGTCCGAAGGAAGTTATAATTAATTATAACTTATGCCTGCTATTTATGTATCTACAATTTATAAAGATAAACCACAAAGAGGCAAGATGAATGGAAGGTTGAGTACCCATATATTCATAATTTTTCCTCAAAGAATATGCAAGCAAATTTAAAAACTTTGTGACATGAAGACAACTGGTACAGTGTGGTCAAATTTCTGTGGGAGGCCACCTATAGAGCACCAAGAACTAAAGCCAACAAATGGATAAGATGAAACTAAATTGCCTCCAAGATAGCACAAACATATTTTCACATTCTTCACATTGCTAGTTGCCCATAGATTATTGTTAAAAGTTAATGGTTATTTCACAACTCATCCCATATGAATATTATTTACAAATAGAATAATTAATGGAGCTTCACTATTAAGACAATGCCCAAATCAATAAGCTCCTATTTTAGAGACCATAAAAAAGACATAATTTATGCACAAGGTGAAGAGGTTCATGCCACCACAAACTTAGAAGCTGAACTAAAGAGATAAAGTACAACAAACACAAGGAAAGGAGAGACATTATAATTCAATGAGATGTAATATAATCACAAACTTCAGTTGTTATCTAAATGATTAAACAATACTCAAGCATGGCACACTTATTCACGAAAATTATGGAAATGATTTATTGAAGTATAGAGGTGTTTAATGTAATTTGTAGGAGTTTTTATCTCTGTCTCCTGCAGAGAAATATGGTTGACATATTGAGGAATGTTGCATTGGTTGTTTGTTGGTTTCTTCCATTAAGTGAAAGGAGAAAATGACATGTGACGCTTTAGTGAAAAAGAGACCGAAAGAGAAAAGAAAATAAGAAAATAAATGCGAGAGGAGAAGAAATACTATGTAATGTTGGTAATGGTATAGTGATATGTAGTCAAGATCTGAACATAGATTATATGAGAACAAATCAGAAGTCTTACATGAGAGCTTCAGATTTTCCCTCTCTAGGCAGATAGTTAGATTAAAAATACATCATTTGTTGTTTGTGTCAATACGTTAATAAAGAAAACTATAATTATCAAAAACAAGAAAGCAAAAATAAGTGACCATATACTGCCAAAGAAATAAGCCACTCAAACCCAAATCAAGGAATCTATAAAAAGAGTAAGAACAAGACGAAGGAGGAAGGATAAGAGGAAGGAGCAATAAATAAGTGACACTAACCTCGATTATTGCTACTTGTAGATGGCCGAGAGATTAGTTGATTATCTCTTGGTCCGAAATTAGCTTCTCCAGGTGAATGAACACACAATGCTGCTAGTACCTCGGCATTAATTAATCCCGCACGTTGAAGTTGTGCAATTATATTTGCAGTAACATCTTGTTGAATGGTTCTCTTTTTCTCCTCCATTTGTTCCTCCATTTTCTGTATCCTTTCTTCCATTTGTTGTACTGCATCATTTGTGGTAGTTGAAACTGGTTCAGAATTGCCTGCTTTCCTTTTCAAAGAACTCTTTGTAACTCCCCGTCCATATAATCTAAGACGTCCTGGATGTTCAGGACCCATTACAGAAGAAAATGCATCAACAGACTCACTACCATCTACACTTTGTTGTTTTTCAATTTCCTCCATTTCAGCCTACAAAGCAAATTATGTAAAAAAAATTCAAATAAACATAAATTACGATCAAATAAATGATGTAAAATAGAGTACAAGTAGATACTATTCGTACAATTTTACTAATGGTGTCTTCATTTGTGTCCTTGTACAAACGTTCGGGGTGTCTTGTTCTTGTAACCACAAATAGCTCCTTAAGTGATACAGAAGTTTCCTTTTTTTTCTCCTTCTCACATGAAAAAATGATAATAAAAATCTATTTATAATAACAAGTTAAGATTTGATAAAGAAGTAGAAAACACACCAAATTATTGGGGACTAAAGCAAAACTTATTTTTCCAACAGTATGTGGATTCTTCAACTTTTTCCGATTCTTAGTATTGGTTTCAGACATTTTCTGGAAATAAATAAATCAATATCACAGCAAAAGAGAGAGAAAATCACAATAGAAAAGAGAGAGAAAAAAATAAACTCCTACAATCATATCACAATAGAGAAAAGAAATTGAAATTCCAAAATTCAATTTACCTTATGTTTATCGGAGTCCCAATATTTGAGTAGTTCCTTAAGTTGACATTCTGGAACATAAGGAGGTCGTTTTTGCCATTAGAACTTCATGACTAGTACAAGGTTTGTAACATAATTTCTTCAAATCAAATTTATGTCTTCTCCAAGCAGATCCAATTACTTCTAACACCCATTCTTTTGCATCATCAGTGATAGCATATTTCTCCTACAATTTGATTTCATTGGTAAAATATGTAAAATAACTTTAGTGATATAATTCAAATTAGTAGCTTCAAACCTGTGTATATGTCCATAAATCATCTTTTGTGTCCATATACCTCCAATCTAATATGTCTAGAGGGCAAATAGTCACATTCCTTGCCAATGTGCCAAGGAAGCTACTTAACTCTACAACAACATCTTTGGTTGGACCAACAGGCTGATTGTTGTTGTTCAGTAGGACCAGCTTACGATCATTTCTCCCATGTACACTTTGCATTTGTGTTATACCTCTCGTATTTTTTTGAGTGGACAGGTCTGAAGCTATACATAATACAAGTAATTAGAAGTCATAAATGAGTTTAATAAGTTTTTAAGCTATATGTACCTTGTTCTTCGGATTGTTCGTTTATTGGAAGAGTACTTGTAGAATCTATTTGCACCTCCTCCTCTATAATTGGTTGCTCCTCCATAGTTGGTTGCTCCTCAACACATTGTTCATTTGTTTTAGCTTGTGGTGTAACTTGTTGTTGTTTTGCAATTGGTTGTTCTTTCTCAATTAACTTTAGCAAGTGCTTTTTCTCTGACCGCACAGCCTGAAGAGTTTCTTGTGTTGTCAAAAATGATCATCTTTGTTGTACCAAGGATGATAATGTTCCAGGTTTAGCATATGTCCTTTTTTGGTAACTTTGTTTCTTCTTGAAGGTCCTTCTTGACTCATGACTATTAAAATCTGTGTAAATATAAGATTGCACAAGTTAAAAATATTGAAGAAGAAATAAATCACTGAATCTGAACACAATCTTTTTAAATTCTCATAGCTCCTTTGATTTTTCTTTTGGGGCAGATTAACTGCAGCTTTGGCAGATGTGGGGCAGACGCATAAATACAGACATACATATAATGGGACATCACACGGTGTACCATGGGGCACATAAATATCATTAATGATGTAGATGTTTTTCACGCAAATAAAGAAACTAGTTTTCAAAAAATAACACCTAAATAATTCACCCTCTCATTACTGTTTTCGAAATCTAAATAAGATCTCTTAGAAGCTCCCAAATACGCCTAACTTATTCCCCAGAATAAACTTCAAGCCCAATTTTAAGCTAAGTCCATCACTTCAGAAATTAAGTTCTTCCTTGCAACAGATTCACACACACAAATGAGGCTTCTACTCTGAGGCAACATACAATCAAGTAAAGAATGAGTCTACAAAAGTCTTTTAAGATGTTTAAAATTCTGATTTAGTAGTTTTATGATGTGCAAAATTCACTATTTCAACTACAATGTAAACAACAAATTTAATCTCCAGAATGAAATGAATTAGTTATTCTAATGAATATGAGATAGGCACCATTTTTGTTGTAGTTGTGGAAAGTTGATAAGGCCATCAACACAATTTGTCAAGAGCTAGAGTTTATAGAATTGTTACAAGGTTTTCCAATTCTAAATTTCTCAAACTACTTTCAAGAGATACTGTATAAAGTGAAGATTCCATGTAGACAATAATAAGTTGCTTCTTCACCAATAGCAATAGCATGACAACATTAAAAATCAAGATATGCAAGATGAACCAAAAAGACAGACAAGCAGCAATGTAGACTCATCGAGCTTACTGAGATGTATAAAGTCGAAAGAGTTCATACAAAACATTCATTGGAAAGAACATAACTTGTGGAGTAAGAGTTTACCCACACAGAAAGTAAGAGATTTACTTCTAACAACAATTTTTAAAATACCTGCCTACAGTGTACCTGCAATAGTAACAAGCATCAACATACACCAATAAGGCAATTAAGAGATAAAGTTAGGAGGCCACAAAAGTAAGACAATTATAAAGGTTGGAACTTCTCACCACAAAGTACAACAGTAAATCACAACATATCAAGAAACTATATAGTTCATTGAAAAATAATTGATAAAAAGAAAAAACAAATTAAAGATATAGCATATCTCACATGCAATTCTACCACCTTTTCACATGTTAAGAAATAATTCAAAGACACGAAAATAAGAATAACCATAAGATAAACTTTCAGACAAAAACATAGCAAATCTCACATGTAAATCTACCACTTTTTCACATGTAATGAGATAATTGAAAGACATTGAACATAAGGATAACCATTACATACGAAAGGTTTTGACGCTTGGTTGATTATAGTTTCTCATCTTATTATCTAATTCATTGAGCATCCTCATGTGTCAACATGTTATTCTGCCTTCTTGACATACCAATACATATTGTATATGTAGTAATGTACTGATTTCCAATGATTTGGAATGCTTCGTTTTCATGAATACAAGTTCAAGTATACAAGTTAGCAAACTTTTTTAGTAGGCTCTTGTTGCATACCAAGAAAAGTATCAATGATCTGTATATTTTTACCTGGAGATAATAGGTGTCTAGTATTATCAGATGTATTTATAGATATAGTTAGACTCTTAAAGATTCCATTAGATGCTTTATAGACATTGTAAATCTGCCGCCTACGATTATAGTTTCATCCATCCATCATGTCACATCCTAACCTGGGTGAGGAAGACTATGCTCTGTATGAACAGATGAACTATATACATATATACTAAACCATATG